TCTCCGGCCTCAGCCTCCCAAGTAGCTGGGACCACAGGCGCCCGCCACAACGCCTGGCTATTTTTTGGTTGCAGCCATCATTGTTGTTTGGCGGTCCGGGCTGGATTCGAACCCACCACCTGAGGTGTATGTGGCTGGCGCGTTAGCCGCTTGAGCCACAAGTGCCAAGCCAGAAAAGCAACTCTTAAATGATGATAGTGTGCAGGAGTCAAAGGGGCAGCCTCTAGAGCTGGCGACCAGCTTTGTTCCTTCTTCCTCCTACTTACCAGCAGAGTGATCTTGGGCAAGTCACTCACCCTCTCTGTGCCTCGGTGTCCTTATCTGTGAATGTGTTTAACAGTAGCTACCATTGCATAGGGAAGAAAAACAAAATAATACACATGAAAGGCACAGCGCCTAACAACTCATTAGCTTAAATACTGTTATCACGTGAATCCACTTCATTAAAAAGAAATCAAAAAACTTCTACTTCTGGCTAAAGTATTAGCAATAAGAATCAGATGGACCCTCTTATCAGGACCAATTAAAAAAACAGATAAAATAATTTATAAATTTATAGTTTTCAGACACTGAATTGGAAAGTTAAAGGTAAATAAAGATCCAGAAAGGGTAAGGAAGTTATAGTTTGTGGGGCCGAGTACCAAAGTACCACAGGAGAAGGGGAGAGAGCAAGAGAGACTTTGATTTTAGAGGGTTGAAGACTAATGGGCTTATATGTGTGCTAAGACCAGGGACAGAACCACCAGGAATGGACACCCCCAAAGGAGCAGAGGGAACAACCTTCTAAGTTCACACAGGGCTGCAAATATAATAGTTTATGTGCCCACCAGCCAGAGTAAGAAAAGGCTTTTAATGAAGTGGGGGGAAAATTAGCCCTAGAAAAAAGGCTGCTCTTGTCTTGCCTGACAAAAATGTAACAGCAAGCTTCAAACAAGCTAGGGATGGTGGTGCGTGACTATATTCCTAGCTCCTTGGGAAGCTGCGGCAGGAGGATCTTGTGAGCCCAGGAGTTCAAGGCCAGCCTAGGAGATAGTGAGATACTATCTCTTAGAGAGAGAGAGATTCAAACTGCTTTCAAGTAACTTAGCTGTATCCCAAAACAAAAGCCAAGAACATCTGGAGGAAATTCAACAGTATCCAGCATGCAGCAAAGTAAAATTCACAATGGCTAGCTTGACTCAAAACTTACCAATCACATAAAGAAGCAGGAAAATACCAACCAAATGAGGAGAGAAAGGAACAGAAACAGGCCCAGAAATGAAATGGACAGTAAAATTAGTAGATGAGGACATTAAGGTGGTTATTATTTAAAAGCATGAC